ATCTCAGAACCATCTTAAATAGAATTGTTATCCTACTTGATGAAGATAATTGAGATTCAGATGCATTAACCAACTTTCTCAGRATAACAAAATTATTTAGTGTTGGAGCTAGGATTTAAACCCAGATGTTCTGATTATAATTAGGTGGTCTTTGATACTCCTGGAATGAAAACAAAACATAATTCCAGCTTTTTTTCCCCTACTATAAATAAAGATACATTTGACAGTCACCTTAAAGTTATGACTCCTTTACCAGTTTATAGTTTTTTCCTTTTTGTTTATAAGTTTCTTTTGCCCTACTTTATCTATCTTTACCCTGCAATTAAAAAGTAAGCAACAACAGAGTTAACAGGAAGTTCTCATGAATAAAACAATCCAATAGACATTTGTTGACTACTTTCTAGATGCTGTGTGTGTAGAGATGAGTGTGCAATAACAAAGTGAGGAAGAGAGAAAAATAAACAGGCAAATTAAGCATAATGGGTTAAGTGCGTGTTTTGAGATAAGGACAGTGAGTTTGGGGAGCACAGTGGAGAGGACCCAACCCAGGGARGAAAAGAAATCCTAAGACACTGAAGTCTCAGCTAGGAAGTTCAGATCATATGAATTTGGTCCCTTCAAAGAGTAAAGGGAGAGGGGGACAGGGAGCAGCCCAAATAAAGAGACCAGACCACACACAAAGATCTAAAGTCAGCACAGTCCATTCATGAGCCTGTATTTCAATAGAATATAGATATGCTGAATTAACTACAARTCTAGAGTTCAGTTTCTTTTCACAATTTTTCCTTGGATCAAGTCATTTCACTGGTTGTATTTCTTATCTACAAAATGGAGACCATCTGTGGGCATACTTGTTATATAATGATAAGAGTAATAGYAACCACCATTTACCAAATATTTACTAAATACGAAGCATATTTAATTATCACTTCAATCCATGAGGTGGCTACTGTTATTATTCCTSTTTTGTAAATGAGGAAACTGAGGCTTACAAGGGTGAGACTTTCTCAAGTTTATACAACTAGGACTGTCAGAATTAGGATTTGAACTAGTCTATCTAGTACCGAAGTGTTAGGTCATAAAACATTAAAATATTGCATGCAGAAAGCAGTGTTTAACTGAGCTAGAATCCAAACTGGACCTATTGGTGTCAGCATAGCAGTCTATCCTTTTCCCCATGTGATCAGAGGCATAAGGTCTTGTCATGCTGGGTCTAGTGGAGTCCTATATATTTTATATAAATTTATGGTAATGGCTGTTTGGGAATAAAATGTCTATCCAAAGCAGATGACCAGTGATTATTAGCTTTGTATTGCATGTTGAGTACATTAACTGTAAATAAAACAATATTTAAAACAAAAAAGAAAGAAAGCAGTGTTTACCTATATGAATATTCTTTTTTTATTTCCACCATAAATATAAACTTTTTGAAAGTTCTTCAACATTAACATCACCTTCACCCAAGTAGAGTTTTTTTTTTTTTTTTTTGGTACCAGAGAGGGATTGAATCCAGGAGTCCCTAACCACTAAGCCACATCTCCRGCCCTCTTTTTGTATTTTATTTAGAGTTGTTTTATTTAGTAGTTGTTCAGGGCCTTGCTAAGTTGCCGAGTCCAAGTTTGAACTTGCAACCCTCCTGTCTCAGCCTCCCGAGAATAGCTGGGAATACCTGGCAGTAGAGGTATTTTTATTGTGGTTTTGTTTTTTGCARTACTAGGGATCAAACCCAGGATCTCCTGCATTCTAGGCAAGCACATTACTATTGAGCAATATCCCTTACCCTAAGTTTTTGTTGTTGTTGGCTTTTTAAAAAAAAATTTTTATGAGACTGTGAATTGAATCCAGGAACACTTAACCACTGAGTCACATCCCCAGCCCACTTTTGTATTTTATTTAGAGACAGAATCTCATTGAGTTGCTTAGGGCCTCACTAAGTTGCTGAGGATGGCTTTGAACTCATGATCCCTCTGCCTCAGCCCCACCTCCCAACCCCCCAGCCGCTGGGATTATGGGCCTGTGCCACCGAGCTGTGCCACTGAACTGTACCACTTAGGTGTGCCACTGAACCGTGCCACTGAGCCCAGCCAAGAATTAAAAAAAAAACAAAAACAAAAAACATCAGTTAAGTACCCATTTTCATGACATGCCCTGTTTGAAGCACTTTGTCCTTGTGATGTTATTAATTCTCCCTCCCCTGAGAAGTAGATATTATCCATTTTTTTACAGATGAGAAAACCAAAGCTCAGAGAAGGTAAATTTCTCAAAGTCACAAAACTGCTAAAAGATGAAGACAGAATTTGGAACTGAATGTATCTAGATCCAAGGCCAGTGCTYATTCCATGTTGCTTCAAGATCTAAGTATCATAAAATAAAGAGTCAAAAACAAAGTCACATTACAACACAAAATAGAGTAGTGTCCAGCTAACAGAGAAAAAAAATCATCCTGGTTTATAAGGCACTTAATTTTCACCCTTGAATCTAAACATACTAGAAACTCAAACCTAGGCTAAAGAAATAGATGATTTACAAATAAAAAACTACAGCAGTTGATTTATGAATTACTGATTGTAATCAATAAGTATATTAATTATACTTTCAAATAGCATTTTGAACCTTATTTCATATATCTATTCTTCCACAGAGCTGGCACACAAATGAGAAAATTTTTCAGTGGGGACATCAATTACATTTTTTTTTTAAATATTTATTTATTTATTTCTTAGTTCTCAGCGGACACAACATCTTTGTTGGTATGTGGTGCTGAGGATCGAACCCGGGCCGCACACATGCCAGGCGAGCGCGCTACCGCTTGAGCCACATCCCCAGCCCATCAATTACATTTTTATATACTATTTTGTATTATTATTCACTGTTGTTCAAAATTTTAAATAGTCATATAGCTCTAGTTCATAAATGTATCATAATTCAACTTTTTTTCATTATTAGACATAATTCTAACCTTTTAATATTATAACTCATACTATGACAAATATCCTTGTAGATGAATCTTTGCCCTCCTATCACATGTTTGTATTTTAGATTAACTTCTTTTAAAGGCACAGTGTGGGCTAGGGGATATAGTTCARTTGGTACAGTGCTTGTCTCGCATACATAACAACACCCTGAGTACCCAGTACCGCCAAAAAATAAAAAATAAATAAAAGCACAATAGACTTCACCCAAATAAATGGCTCCAGTAGGGACAATCTCAGGCTCTGGCAAGCATGTGGAAAAAAATATTTTGCTGTAAGTGATCCTTTTAGCCATCTCTAATTGCCCTCTCAAGGTGACTGCCTACTTTGCCAACTGGGAGGTTAGTTTGGGATAGCACTGTGGAAGTTTGGAAAGTAGGCCAGTCCTTAGGAAGCCTTGAGGGTGACCTAAGGTGTATGGAGGGGCTATATTGTACAAAGAAAAGGAGATGAATGAATTTAGATAGGTTTCAACATAGAATCTTAAAGCCAGGAGAAATTTAGAAGATTACTTTCTTCTCCATCCTCCCAGCACAAGGCCCAAAGCATAGTACAAAGAATGACAGAGTATCTTTCTCTTGTTACTGTCTCCGATTGATTGGTGGTGGCCAAAAGCATGGTGTGTAAGGCAAGTGAAGGTCAATGGGAAGAATACTTATAACAGTGAGCTTCATCTATTTGTCATAAGAGAATTAATTTAGTTTGTAAGTTTGCCATTCCTCTAGTAAATGTTTAAATGAATAAATAGGTCTGAGATTAATAGTATAAAATCAGTTTTCATTATTGTAATATTTTTTTTCTTTTCTTTCTTTCTTTTTTCTTTTTTTGTAATGGGGATTAAACCCAGGGGCATTTAATCACTGAGCCACATCCTCAGCCTTTTTAAAATTTTTATGTTGAGACAGGGTCTCTCTGAATTGCTTGCCTCACTAAGTTGCCAAAGCTGGTTTTGAACTTGAAATCCTCCTGCCTCAGCCTCCCTAGCCACTGGGATTACAGGCATGTGCCACCGTGCCTGGCTATTGTACTATGTTTTTTAGACTTAAAGAAAAAATTTTAAAGCCTAGGCTCTAACTCACTTTTTTTTTTTTTTTTTTTTTTTTGGTACTGGGAATTGAACTCAGGATCACTTAACTACTGAGACACATTCCCAGCCTTTTTTATTTTAAGCCAGGGTGTCACCAAGTTGTTCAGGGCCTCACTAAGTTGCTGAGGCTGGACTTGAATTTGTAATCCTCTTGCTCAGTCTCCAGAGTTTCTGGGATTACAGGCATGCTCCATGGCACCCAGTAATATTTTTTAAATTTTCTATATATCTATTGTAAACAATGTTAAGAGGAGAAGGTGGAGAGCAAATCTGTGTTTGCATAGGAAAGCACTTTTATATTGTATTTTTTTTATATTGTATTGTATTTTTCCCCTCTCCCTATCTTTTTTCATTTTATTTTTTTATTTGTTCTTTTTAGATATGAATGAAAGTAGAATGTATTTTGACATATTATACATACATGGAGTATAACTTATTCTAATTATGATCCCATTCTTGTGGTTGAACATGATATGAAATTACACTAGTCATGTATTCATATATGAACATAGGAAAGTTATGTCCAATTCGTTCTACTATTCTCTCTCTTTTCTTTCTTTTTAGTGCTGAGGATTAAAAAACCAGAGTCTCACACATGCTAGGCAAATTCTCTACCACTGAGCTATATTCCCCAGCCCGACGTTATATTTAATATCACTATAACTATACCATAGCTTTCATAATTGAAATTGCATTTAAAGAATTTAATAAAATAGTAACTTCTCAGGCTTCTATCTTCAATTTCAGGGAGACTTCCTTCAATTTTTACTTATTTTATAATTGGCAAGTAATCTTTAAGTCCTTAAATTTTGTAAAAGTGTCAAAATGAGGTGATTTTCATTTTGAGTTCTAAGTGCTCAAGAATATACATCATGCTGTGATAAATATAGACATTACTTCCTAGAAGTGATCCTATTTTTGTTATTATTGTTTTGTTGTAGCATGCAAGACGACAGCATAGAAGCTTCTACTTCCATATCTCAGCTTCTCAGAGAAAGCTATTTAGCTGAAACCAGACATCGGGGAAACAACGAGAGGAGTCGAGCAGAACCTTCCTCTAACCCTTTCCATTTCGGCAGTCCTTCTGGGGCTGCTGAAGGAGCAGGAGGCCAAGATGACCTTCCAGATCTTTCAGCCTTTCTGAGCCAAGAAGAATTAGATGAAAGTGTCAATTTGGCAAGATTGGCAATCAATCATGATCCTTTGGAGAAAACAGATGAAGCTCAAGCTAGAAAACGTTTAGCTTCTGATCAGATGAAACACCCACCTAAATCAAGTTTTGAGCCTAACTTCTGTCAGGATAACCCTCGAAGTCCTACCAGCTCTAAAGAGGACCCCCAGGAGGCAAAAAGGCCACAATATAGTTCTGAAACCCAGTCCAAAAAAGTATTCCTAAATAAGGCAGCCGATTTCATTGAGGAGCTTTCCTCCCTTTTCAAGGCCCATAGCTCCAAGAGGATTAGACCTCGTGCCTGCAAAAACCACAAGAGTAAACTGGAATCTCAGAACAAAGTTATGCAGGAAAACAGTCCCAGTTTCTCAGATCTGTCAGAAAGACGAGAAAGAGCTTCTGTTCCCATCCCTATCCCTACAGATACCAGGGATAAYGAAGTGAATCATGCCCTTGAACAACAGGAAGCCAAGAGGCGTGAAGCTGAGCAGGCTGCCAGTGAGGCGTCTGGTGGAGACACCACCCCAGGGTCTTCGCCTTCATCTTTGTACTATGAAGAACCTCTGGGTCAACCTCCCCGGTTCACTCAAAAGTTACGAAGCAGAGAAGTTCCCGAAGGATCCCGAGTACAGCTGGATTGCATAGTGGTAGGAATTCCACCTCCTCAAGTAAGGTAAAAATGTCCCATTAGTAATGTTTGGCATGGTGCTTTCCATCTACCATGATCCTCCTAAGTATGACCTGTTAAGTATGTGGTTCCAGAAATTATATACACTTCCTTTGAGAAAAGTAGAGAGTGTCTAAAGAAGCTCTGTTCAAAAGAAAAGAAAAATAATATTAGCAATGTATGTGAAGCTGGCTCTTGATGTTGCTTCATTGCAACCTCCATTTGCTATTGGTTATTATTGTTCTCCTTGGAAGAGTAAAGGGGAAGGACACCAACTGAGTGCTTTTTTAAAAAAGAAGAAGTTGGGAGGCTGAAGCAGGAGGATTGCAAGTTCAAAGCCAGCCTCAGGAACAGCGAGGCCCCAAGCAATTTAGTGAGACCCTGCCTGTAAATAAAATACCAAATAGGGGTATGGATGTAGCCCAATGGTCAACACCTGTTACCAAAAAAAGAAGGAGGAGGAGGAGGAGGCAGAGGAGCAAAACAAGAAACTCAAATTTAAATCAGGAGTGAGATAGTTGGCTTAGGATGTGATTGTCCTTCTACTGTAAACAAGCCTGATGAAGGATGCTCCCTGGAACTCTGGTCAGACCAGATCATTCAGGGACTCATCCTTGCCATTTCTCAACCATGACAATTTTAGATACAAGAATGAATTCAGTCAGGTGTGGTGGTACATGCCTGTAATCCCAGAGGAGGCTGAGGGAGGAGGATCACAAGTTCAAGGACAGCCTAAGCAACTTAGTGAGATTCTGCCTCAAAATAAAAAATAAGAAGAGTTAGAGGTGTAGCTAAGTGATAGAGGATCCCTGGGTTCAAATCCAGTATCAAAAGAAAGAAAGAAAGAAAGAATTAATTTGGTGCACCCATGAGAAAAATAAAAAATCAGCCAGGAAAAACTATAAAGTACCTATTCCCTGAAAACAAAGTCATCTTATAGCAAGTCAAAAAGTACTTAATCAACCAAGTAAAAATTTACAAATCTACAAATTTGAAAGTGAAAGAAAAATACTCAGCTTTCATGTGGCAATGTTAATTTTACCTGAGAAGAATTTCATTACTAATTAAATTTATATCTATACCCCAACCACTCGTTTGATTCTAGGAAACTAGTAGGAACTCACTAAATTCATTTCTGAATGATTTTGTATTTTATTTCATGACTACAGTTCAATTAATAAAAAATTTATAATTTTCCAGATAGGCTAATAGCTGTCACTGTTTTCTTAAGCACAGAATTTATACAACTTTAATCAGAAAGCAACTATTTGTTTAGCTTTTAATTTATGCTCAGCAGTGTTGACAATATAATGATGCAGATGATACAAATACGTGTCCCTGCCTTCAAAGAGCTTGCAATCCAATTATTTAAAAAATCACCCTATTTTTTTATCATACATAAATCTTAAGTAGTATTAGGCTAGGGGAACTAGAAAAATYAAAGAAAGTTTCAGAGACATAGGGGACTTTTAGTTGAATTTTGAAAAGTGAAAAGGATTTAGGTAGAAATTAACTCATTTAATTCAACAAATATAGAGTTACTAAAGCCATTCACTGGGAATACAAAATAATCATGAGTTTGGGAGGTGAGGGACCTTGTTTTAAAATCAAGTCCCAACTATTTTGACAGGCTAATTCATAATCTAGTACCAAAACCAAACAGACATGTAATCAAAGCATTATTTGATTTGCAATATTGTATAATAAGGGCTATAACAGAAGTGTGTACTGGACACAATGGTGGCCCAGAGGAAGATGTGAGTTACCTTGCCTGGAGTGCAAGATAAAGGAACATTAAAGAGGCGAAGGAGGCTAACTGTAGGAGAAAACAAGTGCAAAGACCCAAAGCAAGCGTTCTCAGGGAACCCCAAGGACTTGAGTGTATTGAAACCAGGGTAACAGGTAAGGAAAGATTAGAGATGCGTCCTTTCGGTTCAGGTCAACTCAACATGATTATATAAAGTCACAGATACTGACACTGACATTGTAATCATCTTATGTCCGTTGGGACTGGAATGGGTACAGTGGGACAGAGAAAAGATGTTAATGATTAATATTTAGAAGAGAAGAGGCAATTGTCAAGTTGAACTTGGTTATTAACTAAATGGGAAGGTTGAGTAAAAAATTTACCCCATAAGTTTGAAACTGGGTACCTGAAACAGAGATGGGGATCACTGGCCAGTACTGAGAAAATGGAAGAGGTGTCCAATTTGTGGAGGAAGTTGATGGAGATTTGAGTCTGAGGGGTGGAGGGAACATATCTAATAGGCAGTCAGAAATTTGACTGAAGGTCAGATGAGAGGATTAGAGAACTAGAGCAACCCAAGGAGTAATGTGGAAAAGTCTTCCACAATATCTCTGTGCCCACATACAAAGATGTTGAATTGATCTCATCAAAGGGATTCATCTATTCCATCATCACCCTGTGTTCTTGACATAGCTAAGTACTTGTGGTTTCCTGATATTTACAGAGGGACACATAATATTTAAAACCAACTTCTAGTTGGTTCAGTCCAGTGCTAGAGTGGAAAAGTGTTTTCCAGCCTTCTTTTAACAATAGTTTGCCCCCCAAAACCTTTGCATGTTACCTCAATCTCTCTCTCTCTCTCTCTCTCTCTCTCTCTCTCTCACACACACACACACACACACACACACACACAAAACAAAACTAAACAAAACAAAAACCCATTAAATTAGTAAGAAGAGTCATTTCAATTTGTTAAATAAGAATACCATAGTCAAGCCAGGCACAGTGAGACATGCCTGTAATCGTAGCTACTTGGAAGACTGAGGCAGGAGGATCAGAAGTTCAACTTAGCAAGGCCTTAAGTAACTCAGTGACACTCTGTCTCTAAATAAAATATAAAAAGAGGCTGGGGATGTGGCTCAGAGGTTAAGCACACTTGGGTTCAATTCCCAATACCAAACAAACAAAAAAATACCACAGTCAATAAGGAAAGTAWTGTTTTACTATTTTATCAAGAAGATATATGTATACTTGGCAACTATCCATATGCTAACTCATGTGWTATCAGTGTTTTACCCATGTTCTTGTGACACTAGTTTAGCAAGTTGAAAAATCATTTTTGCTTATATTGTTGTTGATTTCCAAGTTAATTGAGTAGAGATTGATTTATAAGTAGAAGCAGGATCCTGAATGATGGAAGCTAGTGTTTTTCAAAGCATGTTAATTTTGAATTTAGTTTCATCAGAGGCCTTGTCTTAGAAAATGAAATACATTCATGCGTTAACCCAGATGAAAGAGTCTGCAAGAATTCACAGCAAATGGCCATGATCCCTTTTTGTATCCTGATGCCAAATTCTTTTCCCAGGAATGTACAGCTGGGTCACTCTGTGTTTGCTTGTATACAACCTTCTGAGACAGCACCAATTTACCTTTTTATAGATAATGATGGCCACTGTGTTTTGTTTTTGCTACTTCAGTTATGTTCCTACAAGTTATGTGCCAAGGAAAGAAAAAGGAAACAAAATTGTTATGAAGAAAAAGGATATCTTAAATGACATAGAGGCATTTCATATTATATTATTTAGAGGATATTCTTCTACCTTTAGGGGAAAATCTAGATTAATTTATCCAACAAATATCCAGTGGCTATTTATGTGCCTGGTACTATTGAATGTGCTAAATTTAAACAGCAAGCATGCCAGACATGGACAGCACACACCTGTAATCCCTGGGAGACTGAGGCAGAAGTAGTATAAGTTCAAGGTCAGCCTGGGCACCTCAGACAGACTCCATCTCAAAATACAAAATTTCAAAGGGACTGTGAGTGTAGCTCAATGGCAGAGCACTTGTTTACCATGCATGAGGAACCTCCGTGCAGCAAAAAAGGAAATTTTTAAAAAGCAGCCATAAAACAGAAAAAATCACTGCAATTATGGAGTTTTGTCTAGTAAGGGACACAGACAATAATTTTTTTTTCTTTTGTACCAGGGACTGAACACAGGGGCACTTAACCACTGAGTCACATCCCCAGGCCCTGCAACCTTTTTTTATTTTAAAGGGGGAATTTGCTTTTTTTTAATATTTATTTTTTAGTTGTAGTTGGACACAATACCTTTATTTTATTTATTTATCTTATGTGGTGCTGAGGATTGAACCCAGGGCYTTACACATGCTAGACTCTACCACTGAGCCATGACCCCAACCTCCCCAGCCCTTTTAATATTTTATTTTGAGACAGAGTCTTGCTAAGTTTTTCAGGCCTCGCTAAGTTGCTGAGGCTGGCTCTGAACTTTTGATGCTCCTGCCTCAGCCTATGAGTACAGGAGTGTGCCACTGTGCCCAAGTAGGTAATAAAAATTTTGCAAGTGATTATACAATTACAATTGTGATAAATGTTATAAAGAAGGCAGCAGTTAGCAGAGGGACCAAACCTGGTGTATAGGTTGGTGTATCCTGAACCATGATATTAAAGCTGAAACATAAAAGATGAGAGTTAGCTCAGCAAAGTAAGGTGCAAGAAAAAGTGTTGTAGGCTGAGGGAATGGAAAATTTGAAGTCCTTGAGGCATCAAAGCAAATATTAAGTTTAAGGAATTGAAATGCAGCTAGAACATAAAGTGAGGAGGAAATTATTTGAGGTTAAGTCCAGAGACGTAGAGGCCAGATTCTGAGAGCCTCCTAAAAGAGGCGAAGAGGGTCCCTGACCCGGGAGAGTCAGCATCACCTGGGACCTTTATGGAAAAGCATTGTAGACACACTTGGGTCTAACTGAGTCAGAATCTCTAGGGATGAGGCCAGCTGCCTTTGTTTTAACAAACTGCTGATAATTTGTTGATATGGGCACAGGGGTTCACTGTACTAGTCTCTCTACCTTGTGTATGTTTAAAGTTTCCATAATATAATGTAAAAAAAAATTAGTATGTTTATGTGGTTGCAAAACTTTATGTAAATGGAATCAGAATGTCTATATTCTTTTGCTACTCTTTTCCTTAAGAAGTACATGTAAATCTATTTATTATACTCATTTTCATTGCTCTATA